TTTTTAATGAATCCTGAGAGATTTCTGTCCCTCATTTCAAAATGCATTTAACCAAAACTTTCATGGTTCAAAAAGTTTATAAAAATATTTTAATGAATCAAGCAGTTGAATCCAATACTATTATTGAGCAGTTAATAATCTTCTGAAGAGACATGATTGCTTTATATTATAAACTTTAAATTTGAGCATTTATTCACACATAAACATACTTAGAGAACATCAAACAGGTCTCACGCGGTTTAATGAGAAGGCAACATAGATAAACATTGATCAATGTTTATATGTGAATAAAATGATATATTAAATCTGTTTATCGTATAAAGCGATTGTGCCTTTTCAGAAAACTTGGATTAAACCACTTGATTCATATGGATTTCTTCTATTCTTTATTGTATCACTTTATAAACTTCATAGTCATAGTTTTGCTGGACTTTCAATGGAAAGACAGACATTTTTTTAGATTTCATTCAAATATATTTTGTGCTTTTCGAAAATAAATATTGTATAAAAGGTTTAGTAAACTGCATTTTATGTGGGATACAATGTTCCATACTTATTTTTTATAATACTGCATATCTCAGCAAATGTAGCAGGTCAACCACATATTCTACATATCTAATAATATTCTATTCAACTTGCATTCTGTCTACAGAAAGAGTAAGAACACTATAGTAGTATGCTATTCCGAACTAGCTTTATACTTAAAAGGCAAACATGGTGTTACCTCATAGCTGGTTGAGAGAGGAGGGTGATCACTGGAGTTTAAGCTCCAGGAGAGCTCAGGGGTCGGGGCTCCTGACACACTACACATCACTGTGGCATCACTTCCTGCCATTTGACTGACAACAGCAGGGATGACCTCGACACGTGGATACTCTGAAATAATGACAGTATAAAGAATAACGTTTTCATGTTTGTGAGGATGATTTTTAAAAATATTTCTTACCACAATCTGTGCGACTTAAAACCGCATTGGGTTTCATTACCACATGAAGGAAGAGTGAGTCTAGACAGGGCTTTTGCTTTTCCTCCTTCCTGTAGACACAGCAGCTCATCTCTCTCACTGTCATCCAACCAGACTTTGATCCAGATGTTCTTACATTCACACTGCAAAGGGTTCCCGGAGAGCAACCTAAAGCAAACCCAAACAGACTTCAGGAACAGAAAGATGCTTTCTTTGTATGGTTTACAAACAGAGCACTGTACATACAGTTTAGTACATTTTATTTAATAATAAAAACACTCTCACAAAGTCGACAAGTTTGAATTACGAAGTGCCCTCCAAGACAGTGTTGATAAGTTATTGTCTCTGAGATTCCTACAGATAGAGAGTAGAAACATACTTAACTAATTGAAAATAAAGAATAACAGTATAGAACATTTGTATGAAAACATAACACATGTGCTTAATATTTGCTGCATAATTTCATTACATTTTATATCAAAGTATCCAAAAAGACTCACAGATATTGAAGTTTGGAATTGTTGAAGAAGGCCATCGTAGATACATATGTCAGGTGAGTATTGGTCACTGTTCTGTGTGAGGCAGTATATGCTCACATAAGTTCTGCTGTTCTATAAAGTTTCATTAACATTTGGCATGACCAAACAAATTCAGATACTCACAAATTCCTGAGATTTGAGTAGAACTTCATATGGTCCTCACTGATTGAAAGTAGCCTTTTTTGATTTGAGATGTATCTGTGGAATTGAAAGGAATGATTAGGCACATTAGATTCATAAACACAGTAGCATTGTGGTGCTGTGATACACTACCATCCACAGTTTGGGGTCAGTGAGATTTTTCAATGTTTTGCTAGAATTCTCATGCTCACCAATTATTTGATCAAATCTGTACAGTAAAAACACTAATGTTGTGAAACGTTATTGCAGTTTAAAATAACATATATATTTATTTATTTCTGGGAAGGCAAAGCTGGATTTTCAGCTGTAATTATTCCAGTCTTCAGTGTCACATGATCCTTCAGAAATCATTC